ACACCACAATTCTGCTGACAATTATATAACCATGGATTTCTGTTACTCTAAATTACTCCTATCCCTATACATCACACTACAGCTTGCGAATCACGTCGTTTTTACTACTGTGAGGTTTTGGTTTCAAACATCAAAAAATTGGTAACGTTGCTGTTTTGTAGGGAAAGCAGAGCTGTTTGTTCACCAATTCCTTTTGCTCATGGTTTTTTTGCTCTCATTAAGAATAATCTATAATAATAATTAATAATAAGTAATAATTAGGAAGGTTTTTTGCCTTTTTTCCGAGAACCAATGCAAAAAACCATGGCTTTTATTTTTCAGTATACTTTCTACCATCCCAAACATTCACCCTCGCGTTGTGGTCAGCATCCCGGCTCCCACGCGTCGTTGGTTTTGTTAACGTGTGTTGGACCAGAGCTTGTCCCCATTCTCTTGACATGGTTGTTGATCATAATAATAATAATAAATAATAATAATATATTAATAATAATAATTAGGAAGGTTGAGAACCACTGCAATAAACCATGGCTTTCCGTCTCCTTTCTCCATCCCAACCATCACCCTCAGCTTGCAGCATCCCGTCTCCACGGTAACGTGGACCAGAGCTGTCCCCATCCTTGCCCTGGTTTTGCTCATAATAATAATAATAATAATAATAATAATAATAATAATAATTAGGAAGGTTGAGAACCACTGCAATAAACCATGGCTTTCCGTCTCCTTTCTCCATCCCAACCATCACCCTCAGCTTGCAGCATCCCGTCTCCACGGTAACGTGGACCAGAGCTGTCCCCATCCTTGCCCTGGTTTTGCTCATAATAATAATAATAATAATAATAATAATAATAATAATAATAATTAGGAAGGTTGAGAACCACTGCAATAAACCATGGCTTTCCGTCTCCTTTCTCCATCCCAACCATCACCCTCAGCTTGCAGCATCCCGTCTCCATGGTAACCTGGACCAGAGCTGTCCCCATCCTTGCCCTGGTTTTGCTCATAATAATAATAATAATAATAATAATAATAATAATTAGGAAGGTTGAGAACCACTGCAATAAACCATGGCTTTCCGTCTCCTTTCTCCATCCCCACCATCACTCTCGGCTTGCAGCATCCCGTCTCCACGGTAACGTGGACCAGAGCTGTCCCCATCCTTGCCCAGGGCCCTGGTTTTGCTCCTGAGGCAGGGATGCCGTCCTGGCCCTTTAAGGGAGGTGCCGGAGATTGGATTTCAGCAGGTGTGGCACCTTACCTGGCTGCCTGAGATGCCACACCTGCAGAATCTCCCTCCTTCCTAACTGTAAAGGCACCTGGCCATGCTCAGTTGTGGTGCCCTCTTACCCTTCTGGATGCTGCCTCTCCTATTCCTCTTCCTCCTCTTCTCCATTTCCTCTCGCCTTCTGCTCTGCCAGGTCCTTCCCAGTTTAGGAACCCAGTCCTTGTTGCCACAGCAACCTGCAGTTGTGTGTTGCTGCAACACAGCAGCCGCAACCGCCGCAGCCGCCGCCACGGAGACAGGCCTGGCCACAATTAAAGGGGCCGCACAACAGCCAGGGCTGGGTTGGGGGTCTGCAGAAGGCAGGAGGGGTTTCTGCTCAATGGCTCCTTGGCCGCTTTGGCATCGCTTTTCCAAAGGCACATACAAACACGTACACAACTTAGCCACATTCCTTCCAAATCTCACTCCGAAATCCACATTCTCTTTAGGCAGTCTCCTTTTGGAAGCCGGCCAAGTCCTTGTGGCTTTGCCTTCTTCGTTTTCCCATCCTGCTCCTTTCTCTCCCGCATGTGTCTAAACCCTCTATTTTTCTAAAATGCGCCTTGAGCCATGTTTGGAATCTGTCTGGATTGTTAACAGGGGAGAGAGCATACTGTGTACAAAAATGAACACACGGCGCATACGGATATGTCTTGTGTTTTGTCTCTTGGAAGTAAACACAGGCGGGAGCTCAGATTCCTTCTGCAAACAGAGATAAGCAGCTCCAAACACAAACCGGGCCAAATGCCGGGGAACACACAGCGCATGGACTGGAGACTTTCAGCTCAGTGGAAGTCCAAGCAACCAGCACTCTCTTTTTTTTGGTTGTTGCTACTTTTTTAAATCTTTCTTTTTAATTTTATTATTATTATTATTGTATAATACATAGAAACATACCATCTTTGAAAATAACATTCAAAACACCAGTTTTTTCCCCAATCCCGCCCCCAGCACACCCCCCCCCCCCCCGGATCTCCCTGACCCCTAGAATCATAGAGTTGGAAGAGACCTCATGGGCCATCCAGTCCAACCCTTCTGCCAAGAAGCAGGAATATTGCATTCAAAGCACCCCTGACAGATGGCCATCCAGCCTCTGTTTAAAAGCCTCCAAAGAAGGAGCCTCCACCACACTCCGGGGCAGAGAGTTCCACTGCTGAACAGATCTCACAGTCAGGAATTCTTCCTAATGTTCAGGTGGAATCTCCTTTCCTGTAGTTTGAAGCCATTGTTCTGCATCCTAGTCTCCAGGGCAGCAGAAAACAAGCTTGCTCCCTCCTCCCTGTGACTTCCTCTCACATATTTATACATGGCCATCATATCTCCTCTCAGCCTTCTCTTCTTCAGGCTAAACATGCCCAGCTCCTTAAGCCGCTCCTCATAGGGCTTGTTCTCCAGACCCTTGATCATTTGAGTCGCCCTCCTCTGGACACATTCCAGCTTGTCAATATCTCTCTTGAATTGTGGTGCCCAGAATTGGACACAATATTCCAGGTGTGGTCTCACCAAAGCGGAATAGAGCATGGGGAGATCGAGACATTATGCTCCTCTTGATGCCGGCCAAAATCCCATTGGCTTTTTTTGCCGCCACATCACATTCCTGGCTCATGACCTTCCTGTCCACAAGGACTCCAAGATCTTTTTCACACGTACTGCTCTCGAGCCAGGCATTGTCCCCCATTCTGTATCTTTGCATTTCGTTTTTCCTGCCAAAGTGGAGTATCTTGCATTTGTCACTGTTGAACTTCATTTTGTTAGTTTTGGCCTTTCATCTCTCTAATCTGTCAAGATCGTTTTGAATCCTGCTCCTGTCCTCTGGAGTCTTGGCTCTCCCTCCCAATTTGGTGTCGTCTGCAAACTTGATGATCCTGCCTTCTAACTCTTCATCTAAGCCATTAATAAAGTCAGGGTTAGTCAGATGTTTGTAACTCAGGGGCAGCCTGTAGTGGGTGAATGCAGGCACAGCCTTTTGAAACGGATTGCAACTGCGCAAGAGACAAAGGGCCGGGAATCGCAGAGGCCGACCAAGTTTCAAGTTTCCCTGACTCTCGTATTACAGAATGTTTGTTCGGCCTCTCTCCTCCAATCTGCTCCAACGAATGCACTCCTCGGGAACGCGAGCCTCTTCTTTCCAAAAACACAAAGCAGAACGCAACATTCCTGACAAAGTGGAGCGTGGCCACACCTCACTTAACAAAGGAGCCCCTGGCCCTCCCGCCTCATGTTTTGGACTTCAACTCCCACCATTCCCAACAGCCTCAGGCCCCATCCTTTCTTTCCTTTCCACTTCAGCCAGCGTTTCTCAATCTGTTTATAATTTTATCAATTTGTTTATAAAGCTATTCCCCTCCCAACCCTGCTCTACGCCTGCGAAACGTGGATTGTCTACAGACATCACACGCAACTCCTGGAATGATTCCATCAGCGCTGCCTCCGGAAAATCCTGCAAATCTTTTGGGGAGACAAGCGGACAAATGTCAGCATGCTGGAAGAAGCAAAGACCACCAGCACTGAAGCCATGGTCCTCTGTCATCAACTTCGCTGGACCGGCCACGTTGTCCGGATGCCTGACCACCGTCTCCCAAAGCAGTTGCTCTACTCTGAACTCAAGAATGGAAAACAGTATGTTGGGCAGGAAAAGAGATTTAAAGATGGGCTCAAAGCCAACCTTAAAAACTCTGGCATAGACACTGAGAACTGGGAAGCCCTGGCCCTTGAGCACTCTAGCTGGAGGTCAGCTGTGACCAGCAGTGCTGCAGAATTTGAAGAGGCACAAATGGAGGGCGAAAGAGAGAAATGTGCCAAGAGGAAGGCGCATCAAGCCAACCCTGACGGGGACTGCCTTCCACCTGGAAACCAATGCCCTCACTGCGGGAGAAGATGCAGGTCAAGAATAGGGCTCCACAGTCACCTACGGACCCACCCTGGAGGATTATCCTACTCGGACAACGAGGGATCGCCTAAGGTCGCCAAAGACCATCAGAAAACATAGTATTTTCTGTTGGTCACTGGGATTCTGTGTGAGAAGTCTGACCCAATTCTATTGTTGGTAGAGTTCAGAATGCTCTTTGATTGTAGGTGAACTATAAATCCCAACAACTACAACTCCCAAATGTCAAGGTCTATTTTCCCCAGACTCCACCAGTGTTCACATTTGGGCATATTGAGGATTCATGCCAAGTTTGGTCCAGATCCATCAGTGTTTGAGTGCTCTCTGCAGGTAGGTGAACTACAACTCCCAAACTCAAGACCAATGCCCACCAAACCCACCCAGTATTGTTCATGGGAGTTCTGTGAGCCAAGTTTGGTTCATTTCCACTGTTGGTGAGATTCAGAATGCTCTTGGATTGTAGGTGAACTATACATCCCAGCAACTACAACTCCCAAATGTCAAGGTCTATTTCCCCCAAAATCCACCAGTATTCACATTTGGGCATATTGAGGATTCATGCCAAGTTTGGTCCAGATTCATCAGTGTCTGAGTGCTCTCTGCAGGTAGGTGAACTACAACTCCCAAACTCAAGACCAATGCCCACCAAACCCACCCAGTATTGTTCATGGGAATTCTGTGTGCCAAGCTTGGCTCAATTCCATTGTTGGTGGGGTTCAGAATGCTATTTGATTGTAGGTGAACTGTAACTTCCAAATGACAAAGGGAAATAAACACCTAAAGGGAGGTGTTGATTTATCCCTGTTAGCTTATTTCGCTGCTGGTTTTGCCAGGCAAAGAAGGCTTATCTCCTCAGCGTCTTCTGAAAGCTTCCAAGGGCCAACAGAACAGCTGGGAAAGCGGTGATAAGAGAAACTGCGCCTGAAGGGAAAAGCAAGTGTTTTCAGCAGAGAAGATTACCTTTGAGGTGGCCACACCGTTCGCATGTGCACAAACTTACTTACTTAGGCGATCCCTCGTTGTCCGAGTAGGATAATCCTCCAGGGTGGGTCCGTAGGTGGCTGTGGAGCCCTCTTCTTGACCTGCATCTTCTCCCACGGTGAGGGCATCGGTTTCCAGGTGGAAGGCCGTCCTGGTTGGGGTTGGCTTGACGCACCTTCTTACTCTTGGCACGTTTCTCTCTTTCGCCCTCCATTCGTGCCTCTTCAAATTCTGCAGCACTGCTGGTCACAGCT